CTATAGCCCAGGAGATAGCCTCTCAGCTCTGACAAACTGTCTTGAAGAGGTTAAGTGGGGAGGTCAGTATATATGTGATTTTGGCAAAGGGGGTACTTGCATAAGTACACGTCTTGGTGGAAGGCTCCCGTTAGTCACAAGGACTAGATATCTTAGTTAATGGTTTCAGTGCTTATCTAAGTATGGGAAGATAAAAGAATCCAGCTTCATAAAAAATTTCTCATGAAAATATTTATTTGAAAGCCTGTTCTGCCAGTTTTCCCAGAGGACAGCATGCCTCATTCTGCCCTGAACTCCTCGCAGTGGGTACTAAAGGTTAGTGACTGCAGTGGCTAATGACTTAATTCTTGTAGAACCTGGTAGCAAGGGACATTTTTTAGTTGGCAGTTGTATCAACAAGTTAATACAGGCTGTCAGATGTCACTGCTATCAGGAAACTGAACTCAGCAGAAGAAAATTCAGTCCCTTGAGGTAAAAGAGTGCTAGCCAAAGCACCCAGAGTAAAAGACAAAACTAACAACTGCACAGGGACACAGAAGTCAGGGTGGGCTCTAACCTGAAATGGACCTATTGACCTGGGCTCCTTTTAATGTAAGACAGGAAGTCTCTTAGAAGTATTTAGCTTGAAGAACACTGTGAAGTAGCCAAAACAAAATTCCCAGTTTATGATGTGTCATGCAAAACAAAAATCAGAAACAGATATGTAGAATTTTATCAAACTGAAACACTATTTAGAAATTTCCAGTTGCCATGAAAATCTTGGGGATATGATCCTGGTGAGTGAAGTTATGCAAGATGAGACTGGAAACACAGATTTAGGAGAGCCTTTTATAAGACTGTTTAACAGTTAAAGGTTAATTTCCTGAGCTATCTACATGATTTACCCCTTTTAATTCTTTCAAGTCTCTCTTCAAATGTTCCCTTATCAACAAGCCCTTCCTAGAACCTCCTATACACAACACCTCGCTTTTCCTCCTAAATGTATTTTTCTTCAGGGAACTTATCACCATATGACCAACTGTGTAAGTGTTTCTGTATTGATTGCCTATCTCCCCCAAACAAAATAAAAGCTCAAGGATTCTGTTTCATCCACTGCTATATTCCCTTCACCTAGAAGAGCACTTGGCACACAGTTGGCACTTAGGAAATGTTTGCTATTGAATAAACAAATAAATATCAGCATACCAGAGATAAAGATAACATAAGTAAGAAAAATAATTTAAATATTTCTGTCCTATTTCCCTATCTATATAACTGGGACAACAATCCACAACCATTGTTTGTTTTGTTTTGTTTTGTTTTGTTTTTTGGTCAGCCTGAAACAATCCACTTTTGTTTAACTAAAAAAAAAAAAAACAAACAACAAAAGGCTGGGCTTTAAAGGGGGCTCTTTTGTAGAGTCAGTCCTTCCGGTCTTTTGTTTGTAACCTTTCTGAGGCAGCTCTGGTAACATCTGGTATTGACAGGAAATCCTCAACTTTTCCAAGAATGTGAAATCAGTTGATTAAAATGATCACACTGCTAATCAATAAAAGAACTGACCATGGAAAGTTTATTCTGAGAATGAATTACTAGTGGCTTAGAATCTTACTGATAAATTCTTCCATATGCCTTTGGATATGAGTGTCTGTTAAAGAGCCAATCTCTTTCTTTGAAATCTGTTTGCGTTAAGAACAAAACCTCTACATAAATGCTTAAAGTCAAATGCGTTTCTGTTCTTAAGTGTATTTGCAATAGTGTTCATAGAACTAGATCTTAAAAATCTGTCATTTGTGAAAAAGAAACAAAGGAAATTTAATCAAATGTATATACTCATTTTTTTTCTAGGAATTTAGAGTGAAGCTAGTTATGTAGCATCCTTGAGAGAATTGAGAAAATAGTCAATCAAATCATTTTCTGTGTTTTTGGTTAAGAAAGACATGACCATACTGATGGGACTATACTAAGACATTATTACCAGGCATGGCTCTAGCCTTCAAGGCTTTTATTCAAATTTAAAGGCTAGCCTTTTCTAGACAGAATCTCCTCTGGAGGCCCTTTAATTGACTTGGTTGACTCTCATCTCCATGCTGTACAAACATCTATTGTTATACTCTGTATTACCTTTTTTGTTGTTGTTTTTTTTAATCCTAACTGAATTCTATGAATATGTTTTACAGCAAGCAAGACATTTTAACTAAGTTCTGTGGAAGTACGGAAAAAGAATTGAGGAGATTGAGAGGTCTCCATAGAACAATGGGATAAGATTTTTAAGAGAGACAGATGAAGCAATGGGGAGGAGGCAGAGATAGGAAAAAAGGAGGAAGGAACAACTCAAGTGTTGGCAGTGATAAACAAGCTTACTCAAGTTTTAAGTCTTACACTACAACATTCCTGTTCTTAATTTCCTTTCTCTCTTTGCTTGAACCTGCTTCAACCATCATTCCCGTCCACTTTTACTTTGCTATAAATCATCATCCATTACCTTTTAAATCTTTCTTTTTCTACTCCCACCCAACCCTACAAGCTGGCTCAACCCTTTGAACTTGGGTAGATGACTCATGCTCCAGTAAAGAGTAACATAAAGTGTTAGGTATTTGCAGTACTGACAGGAACTGATATCACTTTCAAGTGATATCAATTATACAAAAATACAAAAGCACCTATTAAATATACTTGAGTCCCTGGATTCATGTCACTCCCTTTGTAAGTAGTTACTTTACATTTTTTTTTCACATCTTAACCTAAGGAATTTTAAAGGTATCTAATTTCACTTTGGCTCCTTAATTAGAAGTCAAATTAAATATCTTTAAAAAATCCAGCATTCAATGATCTTATTCCTTGACTGAAAAATTGTGCTGAACATTGGAATTTGACACAACATTGTAAAATGATTATAAATCAATAAAAAATGTTAAAAAAAATGATCTTATTCCTACAGAAACAGACAGCCCCTCTGCTACTGCTCTTCCTCAGTAGAAATAAGTCTCAATAAAATTCCACTTTATCAGTATCATTCATTCCTCAGCAAACATGAGTACCTACTAAGGGTCCAGCGTTGTGTAAAAGTTGGAAATACAAACATATACTAATATACTGATAATAACAAAAAATTTAGTTCAACAAATAGTGTTCTATCCATTTTTAAGCACCAGTAACTCAAACATGAAAAAACTGCAAGTACACACTTAAGTGATTATCAAGCCAAGTGAATAACAACATCAATATGTGGAAAATTATTCCAGTGTAGAATCAGTGTATCTTATGGGACAGCGCCCTATTCAAAATGAAAGGAGAAGTAAACACCATCGGGGCATATAACCACTTCTATTTCATAATTTAATGATGACTAAAGAAGAGATTACCAACTTGAAAGTAGATTACTGAGAAACTATGACAGAAAATTTTTCTCCAATGAGAATAAACTTATTAACTACTCTTTTCATTACTGTTCACTCTAAGTTTCCAACTGTCTTCTAATATGAACACATACATCCTACCTCTTTTCTACACCAATGTGACACAAAGAAATTCAGCCCTTTAAAGTTTTAAGTTTATTGATTATAAGTAATACTCATATTTTTGTGTCACTTGATTATAGATAAATTTCCCAGTCAAAAGAAAAATATATTATAATTCAGGGGGATTCATCAACAAACAACAAAAGTTGCTAAGCATAAGAGTGCAGCCCAAATTAAAAAGGTTCAAAAATCAGCATAAAACATATGACTGCAATATATTACTTTTAAATTAGCCAAGTAATATGTGAAAGAAAAATAAATTGCTCTTAAAATCCTCAAATTTCCTTAATTGATACCTGAAAGGAAGAGTCTCAGCCCAAACTGAATCAAACTAGAAAATAACAGTGAAATACAACTGGATCTGGTCTTTTCTGAAAAACGGTAATTTAAAATAAGAAAAGCATGTAGTGTCCGTTGGCTGTGATATAGTCAATCTTGAGGAAATAAAAATCTACATTCAACTACCCCTTTCTCACACGTACTTTCTTCTAATTTCTTTGGGCTTTAAAAAATGAATATACTTTAAATATATAGAGAGAAACCATTCACAGGAGCTTTTAAATGCAAACAAAATCTGTCCCATATTCCAATATATAGTTAATGCCATATTAAGAGGGGAAAGGGGAAGACTCAGGGGGAATAAAAATAAAATAATAAACTTAAAATTTAGCCGAGTAGTATAAAGCTTTTATTTTCCAAAACTTATTTCAATCAATTTGGAAAAAAATGTTTTTATTTAAAAAGATGCAATATTGTTCTGTAAGATTAATATCACACCAAACATAAATATTTTTGAATTTATTCTTTGGTGAAAATGGTAGTTAAAAAACTGAAAGAGATATAAAGTATTAACTTAATTTTATAGGAAAGAGGAAAGAATGTTAGAAAATTGCTTATCAAAAACTAAAGAGATCCAAGATTGGAGCCACTCACAATAATGACAAATTAAATTAAATTAAATCTTGAGGAGTAATTATGGAAAACAGAGGCCAAGAGTGGTAAAGCTTGTCTCTCAACTCAAATCCTTTTTATAACTAAAGATTAAATTTCTCTCTTTTACAGTCATTAAACAGGTTTTTAAAAAATGTTACATTAAGATATCACTAACAATTTCAATTTATAGATACACATATACATTTTAGTTCTTAAAGTCACATCCTAAACACAAGAGCAATCAAATACTAATTTTTTTTTCCTCTCTCAATCACTACTACCAAAAAGAAGGAAAGAATAAAAGGGGGAAAAAAAGGAAAAAGAAAACTCCCTGAAAGGTGGCTAACATCACAGAAGGCATTTCTGCATAAAAAGAGTTAATGGGCAGACCTCAGCTAAACAGTCAGGGACCATTTGCAAGCCTCCTAGGTATATTCTCAGCAGACACATTATCAGATTAAAGGAACTGCAAACAAACTGGGCTGAAACCTTTCTTTGTCCAAGCCCAGCCTCTTCTTCCTGTGATGTCATATTACAAATCTAGCAAGCCTTTCTTTTTCTCTTCAGAGAAAGCACATCTCACAATACAGCTGGAGGAAAAGGCCTCGATTCAGCAAGAGCTAACACGCTTAGGAATTTATTTCGGAACCTTTGAAGGATTCTTCTGCTTACCCACCATCTGGGATCCACTGAAGAAATAAGGAAAAGGAAAACTTCATTAAGGAGGAGCAAGAAGTAAACGAGACCAAACTGGGAATGTTTAAGTCTCTGAAACTCTGCACTGAAAAGCGAAATAAGATAGCTAACTTGAGCTTAAACATTCCGAAGCATAAACTTAATTTTGGAATATTCATCTAACCACTGAAACAGGAGTTTACCAGGCAAGTACTTTTATTTAGAACACAGCTTTTATTTGAAAGTTATAATCTAATGGGTTGGCTTCATTGACTGCGTTTTTAAAGACTGCTCGTCAGTAAACTAAGCCCGGCGGCATTCATGGGTTTTCTGGAGACTAGGTAATGAAAATATTTTCTTGTTGAAACACCAAGTGAAAATTTTACAGCAACAAATTTCATGTTTCTTCTGGAGAAAAAGGAAGTATTTATAAAACCACGCAAAGATCCAAAGGCTTTACAAATACATTGGAGGTTATAAAGTGGTCACAATCTGAATACCAAAGGAGACTGCAGCCGACCAGACGACTTCAACACTGTAAACTGGACCTGCCTTTATAATGGTAAGCAATAACAGCTCCCACTGCACCTATGACGACTCCTTTAAGTACACTCTGTATGGGTGCATGTTCAGTATGGTGTTTGTACTGGGGTTAATATCCAACTGTGTTGCCATATACATTTTCATGTGTACTCTCAAAGTGCGAAATGAAACAACAACGTACATGATTAACTTGGCAATATCAGACTTGCTGTTCGTTTTTACTTTACCCTTCAGGATTTTTTATTTTGCCACACGGAATTGGCCATTTGGAGATTCACTCTGCAAAATTTCAGTGATGCTGTTTTATACTAACATGTATGGAAGCATTCTGTTCCTAACCTGTATTAGTGCCGATCGATTTCTGGCCATCGTCTACCCATTTAAGTCAAAGACTCTAAGAACAAAACGAAATGCAAAAATCGTTTGCATTGCTGTATGGTTAACTGTGATGGGAGGAAGCGCACCTGCAGTTTTTTTGCCGTCTACCCACTCGCAGGGTAACAATACCTCAAAAGCCTGCTTTGAGAATTTTCCAGAAGCCACATGGAAAACATTTCTCTCAAGAATTGTAATTTTCATTGAAATAGTGGGATTTTTTATTCCTCTAATTTTAAATGTAACTTGTTCTAGTATGGTGCTAAGAACTTTAAATAAGCCTGTTACATTAAGTAGAAGCAAAATAAACAAAACTAAGGTTTTAAAAATGATTTTTGTACATCTGGTCATATTCTGTTTCTGTTTCGTGCCCTACAATATCAACCTGATTTTATATTCTCTCATGAGAACACAGACATTTGTTAACTGCTCAGCAGTAACAGCAGTGAGGACCATGTACCCAATCACTCTCTGCATTGCTGTTTTAAACTGTTGCTTTGACCCTATAGTTTATTACTTCACATCGGACACGATTCAGAATTCAATAAAAATGAAAAACTGGTCTGCCAGGAGAAGTGACTCCAGATTCTCTGAAGTTCAAGGCACAGAGAGCTTTATTGAACATAACCTACAGACCTTAAAACGTAAGATATTTGACAATGAATCTACAATATAAGCTGCCTGAAATAAAACAATTGGGACTTCACTGGGACAGAACTTCTAAGTTCCTTCAACTGTGAAAAGTGTTTTCTTGGACAACTATTTCTCCACCTCTGAAAAAAAAAAAAACATGTGGATATTAAGTTTTTAGTATTAAAAAATGTATTCAATGTGTTAAGCATTAAAATGTATTTTATTCTTGTGTACACTCCATTTTACTTTTCTGAGCCACTTGGATTTGTACCTTCCTCTTCATTAAAAAAAAAAAACCCTCAAAAAGCTGTTCAAAGTCTAAAAGTGATGATGATTTAAAATCATGTGGTGACCATCTGTATGGTCTTTGAATTTCTCAGTAATTTTATACTAGATATTTAACAAATATTAAAAGTATTTCATTTATTAAAAAATATTTAAGTGTTTAATATTTTTATTCAACATCTAATTTTAACTTCATTCTGAATTGAAACTACTAATCATGTTTCTTAAACTATAATAACATAAATGAGAAACAGTAGTTTGAAATAATCAATAAGTGTTTTTAGAGTATTTTTCAAAAAACAGTAAAAAAAAAATGTAGTCTTCTGTAGAATGACATTCTGACACTGAAGACCTTGAGCAGTTACACTGACAGGTAATATTTAGGATTTTGTCTCTGTAAGCAATTCATAAAAAGCAGATGCTACCTATATAATACAGAATGCTCTAAAATTACTCTTTTGATCCATTTTCTGGATATAACAGCACCAAATTTCAAAATGATATATGCCACAAAAATTGAGAAGGAGGAAACCAAAAAAGTTATTTTGTTAAGTAAATTAAAAAAATATATATTACTACAGGTAATTTTAAAGATATATTTATGTCACAATAAATAACTTGCATTTTAAGTATTTTAGATCAGAGAAACAATATAGTGGGATAGTGAAATATAATAAATATAATACTTGGCACTTAGAAAACGATCAATATGTATCTTTTGACCATTTAAGCCAAATAATGAATAGCTGAACACACAGTTTCAAATAGCCAAAATGTTACTGTAAAATCAAAATAATTTATAAAGTAAGGAAACGATTCCTTCTGTAAAAAGTAGCAAAACTACAGGCCCAAATAACTAAGTGTGACTACATTTTCATTTCACTAAACATAAAAAAGGTATCGCTTTGACCTGTAATTTCGATATGAAGCACAAACTACAGTAAAACTTTTTCATTTTCCAAAATAAGTCTTTGTTTTCTCCAATTTCAAGCGATTCTCCAAAGTTAACTAAAAAAGAATTATTTTTATTTGAGAAAAGACATAAAATTAAATTTAGCATTCAACCTATCTAATTTTTCCATCTCAGTCTTTCAAATCCTGAATACAACTCTGGACACTCTAATGATTTAAATTTGATTTTTGCTATTCTCTGGGTTTGGGCTGCCTTGATTTCAGACAAATCACAGCCATTTGCTAAATAAGTAAATCCATTTTCAATAAAACAACAGCAGGGGATTTTCTTTAGAGATCTATGGTTTCTTTTAGATAAACCTAAAGCAAAATAAATCCTTAAATTAACAAAAAAAAAAAACTAGTGAAGAAATTAAGCATAGTTTTTATATCCTAAGAGAAGTATATATATTGTAAACATGTTTTCTTCAATTGATCCTGAAGTTCCTTTGATATCACTCTTCAGAAAAAACAAATACATTTAGCACTTATCTAAACATATATTTCTGAGTTGGAAAGCAACTCATAACTTAATGATGTGAAGGATAGGGGTAGAGAGTTTGTAACCGAGATTTCTCAGAACTTTTCTCAGCTTAAAAATCTGCAAGCAGGATCTCAAAGCACAGCTGTTAGTTACTTTTAAGATGAAGGCAAAACGGTCATCAAACAGCTGTTATTATCATGCTCACTAGAGAAATTTTTGTTGCCTGCTTGTCAACAGGAAGAAAGATGAATAAGTTTCTTAAAAGATTCTTCACGAAGTAATACATAATAGATAAATACTAGTTTTTTCATCTAGAACTTCAAATCCTGGGTAAATCTTAACCACAGGGACAAAAAAAAGGTAGTAAAGTTATTTTCCTTTGTCAGCTTTGCACTTTACAGTAAATTATACATTCAGAGGGTTTTCTCTTTCCCTTTTACCCAGAAAATCTAGATTAATAAAACTCTGGTAATTTACTTTTCGTTTCCTTAAAGTGACATCAACCCCTCCCCCCAAAACTTGTCTACTGTTTTTATCATCTTTATAAAAGAGTGGATGATTTAACTAATCTTCCTTTCCACATTAACCTCCTTCAAAGCAACAAAAGTAAGATGAAAAAAGTTGGTGTGGAAAACAGCTTTCCAGTCTGGAAAACAGCTTTCCAGCATCCTAATGACTGGTTCTGAACTTAGAAATGATCTTTTCTAAGAAAATGACAACCAAGTAGCTAGCTTACCAAAAGAATGTATGAAAACATATGTATTATATCCACAGAAAATTAAAAGGAACTTAAGGCAGGGAGTTTTGCCTTCATATTCTACATTCAGAATGCAGAAAGTAAATTTGAGGCATAAATCTTAACTATAGACACTAACTAGTATTTAAAGAATTAGTCACTCATTTGAAGAACATAAAATAGAAAATGGAACATCAATCTGAATTGATGCAAACTTCATATATCCAACTGAGAAACTAAGTTAATTTATGACTGTGATGTAGCTAGCAAGGATCTGAAGTAAACTGCAATTCTGGACTGCCGATGAACCAGGTATCTGGCCTTTTGTCAATATATTAAGTTCTTTTTGCCTTGCGGATTCTTTACCACCTCCCACCACCCAAACTTTTGAATGCCTGCATGCCAGATCCAACCCCAGATGTCACAAATGAGGGAAGATGTGACCTGGGTGCTCCTAGTTGTGAATAAACTTTCATATAGAAAATTTTATAAATTATGCTTACTAGTGGATGAATCTTGAGGTAATTCTAAGGTAAACTGTTTTTAAAAACCTCTTTTGGGCTGTCCTGAAAACCAGGTTATCCATGTATAACATGACTTCTAAGAAATAAATTCCAAATTAAAAAGAACTAATGGACAAATTTAAGGACATGGAACATTTAAATCAACCGGAGTATTTAATGATCAACAATATGACTTAATTAGCAACATTCTCCAAAGATTAGCATATATACTGTCCTAAAATCACTAATTCTCAAATTCCAATTTTATCTCTATCTTCTTTTCTTGATGTTTACTACCCATTTTTTGACAATTTTATAAAAGTACAAAGAATATCAATTAAACAGGACAACAGACTAGGATAATAAGAGAGTATGAATTTACTCCAGGCAAACTTTTCTAACAAGTCTTTCCCCTTCCTCTGTCTCTCAGAAAGATTTATTCCAGTAACTCCTTAACAAGGTACAAAAATTACCAGTGCTAAAAGCAATGGCCAAAACAGAATTTAAGATAACAGGGCCCCAGAGGTAGAGATTACTAATGAATTTAATAATCAGTTTTCAAACATATATTGCATCCATATGCTTTACTCATATGGATACAACCAGTAAAGTATTTTTGGAAAATAATTAAAGTTTAAATATTTAAGGCTGATAGGAACATGAAAAGATATTCAACATCACTAACCATCAGGGAAATGCAAAACAAAACCACAATGAGATATCACCTCATACCTATAAGAAAGATATATGCATCCCTATGATCACTGTACCATTATTTACAATAGCCAAGATATGGAAACCACCTAATTGCCCATCAATGGATGAATGGATAAAGAACTGGTTATGTATTTGTTTGAATTAAAAAAAGATCTTGCCATTAAAAAAAAAATCTTGCCATCTGCAATGATATGAACGGACCTACGGGGTATTATGCTAAGTGAAATAAATCAGATACAGAAAGATAAATACCAAATGACTTCACTCATATGTGGAATTAAAAAAAAACAAATGAACAAAACAAAACAAAAACAAACTTACAGAAATGGAAAATAGACTGGTGATTACTCGAGGAAAAGGGCTGAGGGGTAGGCAAATTGGGTGAAGGGGATCGACTGCATGGTGATTGATGGTAACTAGTAACTAGATTTTTGGTGATCATCTCTTTGTAGGGTATTCAGATGTTGAATTATAATGTACACTTGAAACATATATGATATGTTTTACCTAAAGAGAAATAGGAATATCCTACAAAAAAAAAAAAGAGTGAGAAACAAATGTGTGTTTTTACAGCCAAGTTAGTTATTAGCCATAGGGTGACTGGACTGAGTTCCATTCCTTTTCTATCAAAATAACTGCTGGTAAATTCATAATTTAGAACTGAAAGAGCCTGGAGCTCATTCTACTACAACTACTTCACCTTAGGTTGAGGAAACTGAAGAACTAAAAGGCTAAATAACTTGCATAAGGTTACATAACAATAAGAAAGAGCCAGGATAAGAACTTGGTCTTTTTGACTTGTCTGTTCCTTTAAGGGTGGTAAGGGGAGTAGCAAAGACCCTATGGAGAGAACCTGGTAAACTGAAAGGATTAAAACAAAGCCAAAGTGGCTGGAGACATAGGGCTGAGATCTTACATACACCTATAGGCCACGATACAGCCATGTTAAGATCTGAGGAGATGTGGAAAGCCTTGAAGGATTTCAAGTAGAAGGAGAGACAATTAGACATGCATTTCAAAAAAACCCCATTCCTCTGATTATAGGGTAGAGATGTATTTGTCTTCAGTAAAAAGAGAAAAACAATCACAATAATAGCTATATTTATTAAATTTAAAGAGCTTTTCTTATCCTTTATTTTGATTATGTTCTTTCCCCCTTATTAAAATGGTCTTTCTTCTTGAAACGATGAAATGATAGATGGGAAAAATATTTTAATGTTGTTGTTACTTGACGAGGTTAAGTGAGCAGCCTTTGTGGAGAAACATTCACACACTGCTGGTGGGAAACAAAATGGTACAATTCTAATGGATGGGAATTTGGCAATACCTAACACACACACACACACACACACACACACACACACACACACACACACACACTTTGATCCAGCATTCCTACTTCTAGGTATTCACCCTGAAGACACACTCTTCATAATACAAAAATACATATGTACAAGGTGCAGCATTATTTGAAATTAGAAAATATTGGAAACTCCCTAGATACCCAAGCATAGAAAATTGGTTGAATAAATTATAGCACATATACACAATGTAGTACTATGCAGCTTTAATAAGGAATGAAAAAGAGCTCTATGTACTGATATGGAGGAGTAACTTCCAGAAAGTGTGGTTAAACAAAAAAAGTAAAGTGTAAGAGTAGCATACACACAGTATGCTACTTTTTGTGTAAGAAAAGGGCAAAATAAGAAAGCACACATGTATCTGCTTATTTTTATAAAAATACAAGAAAGACAAACCAA